AGATGAAAACACAGTTCAGTTCAGAGGCATGCCAAAGAGCAGCTCACTCTCAGAGTGAGCGTCTCACAAAAAGCTGCAGACATCACGGGTTCAATAAATAATGTCACCAGTGCCGCTTATTCCCTCTGCTGCCTGCTCTGACCACAGCAGCGTTACTGAAGCATGACATTACAGTCTGTTTGGCTAACCGCTCTCCCCCACTCATACCAGCTCCTGGTATTGTTCATTGCTTTTTGGACATCTTTCTCATTTTTAACACTTTTTTTTTTTTTAACACGTCTGCATGAGACAGCTGATGTGCCTTCGAGATATTCCCTTTTTTCACACTCTTTCAACTCGAGTGTACAAGCATGGCTGCCAGAGGAAACTAAGCACTAAATTTTATTACTGTATGTTACATAACTGTATTTAACATGCTGTTCAGGCTTTTATAAACTCAACCCTGTCCAAAATATGTAAGTGTAAGGAAATGAAAAGTTAATCCCAAAAGACCTAGAGCACCATTCTTCGATAAATATACTATAAATATACATATTTATGTGTATATATGCTGTACACATGTATATAGTATTTATAAGACTTATGTATATATCTTTTTTATCGTTAAGTTTTCTTATCCTTTGTTGTAATTTGGAATTTCCCTCTGTGGGAAAAACAAAGGAATATCTTATGTTAGGTTTTGGTGCACGGCCTGCCGTAAAGAAAACAGTGAAGATAACCATCAACGTGAAATACACACTTCAAAGCTAATACAGCATCATTAAAAGTCACAAAAAAGTAAAAACTAGTAATAAAAGAAATTTGAACTCTTTCATTTTGCTCAACTACTTCTCAGTCATAAACTATAAGGTGGTGGACTCGCTTCAGTGACGTCAAGTGTTAGTTTCTGCTACCATCACGACATGTCCATCATTTAAAGGGAGTATGTTGTGGCCTGAAAATTAAAGGACAAGAAACAGAGGGGGCAAAAGCTCGACTGGATGGACCTGACTGAAAGTATAAGTATGAGTGAGCCAACAGTGCCATAAGACAAGAGTAATCCAGTAAAAAAATTAGTTTCTTATTCCACATAGAATTAACTCAAACAGCTGTTTTTGCAGCTTTACCAGAGAACTGTTGTGACGATAAAGCGTGCACGGCCAGATGAATCTGTTCGCCACATTACCAAATTAAATTTGCATGCAGTGAACATCGCAGCCTTGAGAGTCTGGGTTTCTGGGTCAGTGCCGTGCTCTGTCCAGCTGGTATTTCATCCTTCATGATGCAGGAGGCTGACTGACTGACATGAGTCGAGCTGATTCTCAAACAAGTGTGTGTTTTGACTGTATTTGACAGCTGGCACCTGAAGGAGAAAACTCAACCATGACATGCAACAAAGGTTCCCGGCTGACCTTGCAAGGTCTGCTACCTACGTCTGCATTTAAGGAAAGCTTTGGGCGTAGGTGTATGCATGTCAGCAGGGGTTGGTTATATAAACTGCTGGATTCAGTCAGGCTGCTTTGATCAGTCTCTCTGTGAACATAAGGATACGTGTTCATGTCACCGGTGTCAACTGCTGTGTGAGCCTGAGATCAGTTATGAAATTTTAAAAAGCATACATAAGAACACCTACAGTGTCATCACATTTCCTGCTACTGCCTGAGCCCCCAAACTTGACGCTCCAACCTTTTCAATAAAACTCATCAAGCGGAACTTGTGTATCCTAATCTTGACTTGCATATTTTTGTCACGTGTGTATCTGCAGATTCTGGGAGGCCTGTTCTGACTTGCTGAACGGCGGCGAAAAGGTCGTTGGTGCCGATTGATTCCACTCAAGTTAATGTGTCAAATTCCACCAGCTTCTTTCCGGCCCCCTGCGGTTCAGTGGGCTTTGTAGCCGATCGCCAGGATTCTATTTTTCAGACGCCACAGCACGCCGCATAAATTGCTTGAAAAGAAGTCGGGTACAAACACAAAATCAAACATCTAGCTTCTTTTCGAAATAAAACTCCACGTGTTTCAAGTGGATCGTATTTCACACCATGCTAACATGTGAAACGTCATTCATAGAGATAAATATTGCACTTACCCATGGTTGATTCCCAATCTCCACAAAAGTGTCTGATCTACTTGTCTGGACAGAGTAGATTTCCTCCTCTAGAAGGACACAACCTACTGCTTCTATGGTTGTGTAGCTGTCCTTAAAGAGACAACTCATTATCCCGCGATTGCATGTCAATTCACTCTCTGAAATTCGCCATGAAACTCACCTTACAAACGTATCCTGTAAAAATCGCCACCGTTCCACAGTGGTTCCGTTCCGCATACGGTGGAAATTTGGGGTTAGAGTCCCATCCACTTAGCCAGAGGGCATATGTTAAGATCACAGTTTTTAAATGCTGCAGTCATTTCCAAGTTATTTGTCTACCAACAGATATCTGCTTACAAATATATATATTCCCTCTTACACGTCAGTCTATAAATGGCACCACAGAGAAGAAGACCACAGATTTAAGTCCTTTATTGCTCACTTTAGCCACACTGAGATCCTCACAGGCTGGCGGTCCCTTCGAGAGACTATCTCAGACTCACATAACAGCCAATGGGTTGGTTGGTTGATTCACCACCAAGAGTGGATGCCACATATGTTCACAGGGTATAAATCCAACAGATTTAGAGCTCTCCCAACGAAGTGGTGACAGTGTGGGTCATAAACCCCGCCTCCCTAATAAAATATAAGCACCACTACAATTTGATTGGAACAAATAAATAGAGACGAATTAAGGAAGAATAGTGACTTTTGGATGTGTTTATCACCAACTCTTTCAGGATACACACTAATATCGGAGCTATTGTCCACTTTCACTCTTTGAAACTTGTTCAAGTTTTGTTCCTGTTTTTCCCCAGATGATGAACTGAGCTGAGGACAAACAGAATAGAGCCCGAATCGATACCTCCATTTACAACATGAAAATAACCTGTGAGGAGAGGGGAGAAGAAAAACAAACCAATAATCTCTCTGCCATCATTCCCCTTGTGCGAAGGGAAATCAATCACTGTTGGATTTCATACAACGCACACCTTTGAAATCACAGTCATACATCACAAAAGGTAAATCTTGGTAGAGGAGTGTGATGGTAAACATACCATCAGCAACAGCTCAAACACAAGGTCTTTTTTCCTCATTTTTCCTGCTACTGTACAGAAATGTGACTTTTCAAACAGGCACAGAAAGCAAACCGAGAGACCTGGATCCTCTCTCTGCTCCTGCATAAAAATGGATAGGGAGTTTTATTTTTGGTTTGGATATTAAAAAGATGTATCAGCCTGAATATATTAGTGTTTATTTTGAATATTAAAACATGCAGAGATCTAATAAAAGAGCGTGGGTGAAGGCCTCGGGAAATATGATTTGTCATGAAACCTCTACTTTAACTTTTATTATTCCGCTTTCTACTGCAAATTATGAAATTTACACCTCGATTTTCAACACAACACCAAAAGAAGTGACAAACCAAATCACCCTCCATGTAGCATTGTCTAATTGTGTGCTGCACTTAAGCCACTGTGAGGAGTTTTAAAGCGGTTGTGAAACAGATTGAAATTGAATCTTGTGTCTCTTTATGACCAATAAAGGCAAAAAACACCAACAGCAACATGTTCCCTTAAAATTATATGGTTCTACCTGCATTCTTAGCAGTTCTAAGACGTTGAGCTTTGAAATAAAAAAAAAATAATAATAAATAAATAAATTGGCTTTCCTGCCCTCATTGAGCAGTGCAGTGACGTCCCAGAGAAGCAGAACCTGATTGGTCCATTTGTGTTCCAGTCCGGTATTGATTGGCTCACAGGTAAAACCATGTCGAACCAAGTTCAGCTTTGACTCTGAGGGTAAAGTTTTGTTTGTTTCTAAAATAAATAGTCTGTATATATCATAGGTTGCCAAAGAATAAGAAAATATGAAACACAGAAAGATCAGGTGTGTATTTTTTGCTCCAGAATCAACATGAAGCAGAAGTTCCTAACAGCAGATTCAAAATCGAGACCATTTTGTGCTTTTGTTACTGTGAATATTAAAGTGTGTGTTTGCATGTCAACAACTGATTGATTATGCTATTGTTTCTCATAATCGTCAAGTCACATTAACAAACAAATCTTAACTGACTGAGCTGAGGTCTTTTCACATCTTTAATTAGTTTAATTTAACAGGACAATTAGTGGAGTTTGACTCCAAATTTTGACATTCTTTTTCTTTGTTAATCTCTGTTCACATCATGTCCCGATTGGCCCCTCTGCATGGCAACAACCCATCTATCCCACACCTTTAAATCAGGTTCACAAAAGACAATGAGAAGGGGAGTGCTACTTTTTGTATGTTCAAAAATTATTATAAGTAGGAAAGATGAAGCAGAAAGAGTGACAGATACTGTGAAAAATAGGAGAGCAGCAGAGTTCAGTTTTACTTTACCTCAGCCTCCCTTAAATCTGCAGTTTTAGAAAGTGGAATTACACAAAAATCTATTCTCAATCATTCTCATTGCAATTTATTCCAGATCTTTTAATAGTCACCATGTGGGAACTGCATGAACTACTAGCAGGCTGCTCAATTAACTAAACTGATCTGGCAGACACTGAGAATAAGTCAAGGATAACCAATCTGGGGTTCACTTGGGTGATGATCCTGACAGTATCTGGCCAAAATGATGTTAGTGAATAAGAATCATTAATATATTTTGACATGTACTTCTACTCAGATTTTCAAAATGTGTTTTAACTGAACAAATTAGTCGATTTAAACTTCCAATTCTTCTCCAAACCCCAGTGTTCCCTTTCTTCATGATGGCAGATGTCTGAGTGTCTGTGCCTGTGTGTGTGTTGTCAGTGTGTGAGACACTGAAGAAGAAGAGATCTCATCTCTCTGTGGCCCTCTGCCCCATGACTCAGAGACGTCCAGTGTCAAGACTCTGCCTCTGGGGGGATGTCATCAGCAGAGCCGGGGGAATAGATGTGGCACGCCAGCATCATTCACCTCCCACTCAGCATGCTTTACTGCTTTCTCATCTTCACTTCCCCCACGGATAACGACATACTCCTGTCTGGCCTATGTATGGATGAACATGTGTAAGTGCTAACACACACACACACACACACACACACACACACACACACACACACACACACACACACACACACATACTCATACAAACAGAATGAGAAAAAAGGGGAAACAGTGTGTTGCAGACATCCATTTAAGGAAGAATAGGAAGGATTAGTCCGCTGTGGGGTGTGTAGACAACATTAAACTAGGACCCTCCTTTCTAACTCAACCAGACAAGTAGCTTCCTCTTGAAGGATGGTTGAAATTCTGACATGCTGTCTTCTGTTTCATGCTGTCTACAAACCCACGGCCCAAAGTGCAAAAGCAGAGAGCAGGATCTCTGAGAGGACCAGGATGAAAAAAGCAACAAACACTGAACACGTCCTCTACACTTATCAACACTGAACACTTGGAGTATCATGAAACACTTACAGGTATATGTACTGGTATAAAAATAAATAACAAAGATCCATGCTAGGCTCATGACCAAACTGGACCAAGCAGATAAGGAGTTTATTTGAGTAAGATGTTACCACAAACCAGGGTGAGAAATTTCACACAGTTATATCATAAAACTTACATACTTACTAATGAACTTGCACTTAATTATTGACTAGTTCAGCGGGTATTCAAATGCAAGTCAAGTTTATTTCACAGAGCAGAGTCAACAAGTGCTTCACAAAAAGGCGAAAATAAAAACAGCAATAAAGAGATGAATAAATGTAATACTATCAGTCAACAGTTACAGATGGTCAAAAGCAGGTTTGGACTAATGTGACTTTAAAAACAAAAGAGGAGATATCACATCATATTTGGATTAGAAAACAGTTCTAGAGAGTTGGAGCCACAAGTATAAAATCTCCTTTTATATACAGTCGAGCACAGGGAACAGCAAGTAGACCCGGGTCAGAAGAGCTGAGAGATCTACTCGTGGTGTGAGGATGGAGCAGCTCAGAATTAAACAGCGGAGCTTGATTATGGATGGCTTTATAAGTTAACACAACTATTGAATTTCCTCTTGAGGATAAATTATTTAAATTTGTATCCTATCTTGAAACTAATGAATTTGGCTCGCAACAGATGCAAATAAATAAATTAATAAAAATAAAAAAACAAGGTTGATATAGATTCTCCTGCTGGATCTGATTAACAGTCTTGCAAAAACATTTTGAATCATTTAAAAATGTTCAAGGGAGGATTTATTGAGACATGAAAAGGGAATTACATTAACCAGGAGGGTTTTTCTGTAGAAAGTTTTCATTTCTCGAACCCTCAGAGGAAGAAGAAACAATTTAGAAAGTTGGTGATTTTCTGTACGTCAGCTGGCTTCACAGAAAGAAAGAACTGAATGTCGTCAGCGTAACAGTGGTAGAAGATATCATGAAATTAATCAATTACATGGCATAATGGGATAAGGTAAAATAAAAGTAAAAGTGGCCCCAACACAGAACCCTGAGGCACACCACTGGAGGGAGTGGCCAATTCTGATCTGTAGGGTTCAAGTGACACGGACAAATGTCTTTCTGAAATAAAAGAAGAGAACCCCAGTGATACCCGATCGTAGCCTGAATCTGTCGATTAGAATATCGTGGTCTTCAGTATCAAATAGAGAGGAAAGGTCCTGGAGGACTAAAACCATGACTGCCTGCATCAGAGGACATCATAATATCATTTGAGACCCCGAACAGAGCTGTTTCATTTGAGTAACTGTGGTGAAAAACATGACAGGAAATTTGTCTCAAAAATTGCGAGCTGTTAAAACAGAAGTGACGTGAACTGCAATCCGGAGATGGTGCTGTAATTATTCAGGACAGACAGGTCAAGGTCGGATTTTTTGAGAAGAGGTTGAACGATGGCAGATTTGAAGACAGATGGGATACAACCGGACTGAAGGGAGTTATTGATGATGGAGACTAGGCCGGAAAGAAACCTACTGTTGTCATCATATTTTTTTAATAGAGGAGTTGGCAAAATATCTACCAGGTTAAAACCAAGTGTTTCAGACAAATGCCGAAGAAATTATTTGTGGCTTTTTTTCTAGATCTGAAAATCATTTAAATCCACAAAAGTGTTATCAGAGAGGAAGTATAGAGCCTGAAAGAAATGTGTAATACCCCCTCTTTAATAAACCAACACAGATGTACCACTCAACCTTTAAATACTGTTCGACTCAGATTTGGCCTGTTTTGACATTAGGCAGCAGTAAACTATCCAAAATGTTATTATTTGAGCCTAATACTGGATCAATTCCCTTTAATTGACCTGAAATAGTTTTAAACAGGTGCCACGTGTAATTGTCATATTTGGTCTTTATCTGGGTTTTATATCCTTCAGTTTGAGTCAGTTCTTTTTGCACTACTCTCAGACATGACACATACATAGACCTGCACCCGCAGCTGTTTGCACTACTCTCAGAGGTGACTAGTGCAAACACAAAGGGGTTTCTGACAGCTAAGAGTTAAGCCCCTTACACTGACAGTGTTTTCGTCTGAGTTTCTTAAAATCATCAAAATTATGTAATGGAGTTTAACAGTGTAGCTGCTGTTTTCACTCTCAGGCCAGTTTCTCGACAAAGGAGCCGAGCTGACTGGGATCCACTGTAGGTAATACAGTTACAATCGATGAGTCGCTCACACAGCCTTCCTTCAAAAACAAAGAGAACAAAAATCTGATCAATTACTCATGAGATTAGTGTGATCAAAAGACAAATCAGATGAGGGGTTAGGGTGCCAGAAGATTAGAAAGGTACCAACGCAGTGACTTCTTTGCAGAGGTTATGGTAGTAAGACCCGGGGTGCTGAGAGTTATTGATCTGATCTGTGAGGATCTGTGATTTCTGGGAAACACAGATCACACAAGTATTGTTTTTGATTTTAACATTAAAGTAGCAAAGTCATTGTTTTTTGGTGGTGGTGGTCATCATGCACAGATAAATCCCATCTTGTTCCCAGAGTTTCACTTTCATTATATTTATATATATTATATTTATCATTTTTATGCCCTCTAAAATTAAGTTGGGGTTGATCACCCTTCAACGGTCTATTTAGATCTATAGCTCAAAATTAATTCCTGATTATTAAAGAGACTACCAAACAGAATTTGCTAATCAATCCATACCAATGTGAAACAGTCACCTTGTACTAGTAGTTTGATTGATCCCTCCATCTTTCTATTTATCTACATTTCCATCAATCCCTCTCTTATCTCTGCCTTTTCTACACTTTTCTCTTCATCCACCTTCACAAAGTTTGGGTCTTTTTATTTTTTCTGCTGATGGTGTTTGTTGAACAAACACAGTGGCACTGACTCACTGTTTTTCTGTGGCCTGCAGTCTATTTTGTGTTTAACAAGGCAAGTTTGAGATATCCACTCCCTGCTGCGCTCTGAAAGCAGGGCCGGGGGAACGGTTCAGAGAAGCCGAGGATGATAAGATGACACGCAGGCTGGCAGGAGAAGATGACAATGAAGATAGCATGTATTGTGACAGTGAATAATTACACAAAGATATGACAGAGCCTTGACAAAACTGGTCTGGTCGTTTCTGTCTGATGGCCGTGAGATATCGGGGGATCAATAAAGGCGTTATATGTAATGGAGATTAATCTGTTTTATTGTAATTGTTTATTTTTCCTCAAAGCACTTCATGACAAAGCAGTTGTAAAACACTTAAGAGATAAATTTGGCCTGGCATTTAGAATGGCATTTATAGTTATTATGGTATAATAATGGTAGTATTGTGTTGTTTATAGGGTTAGGAATCAGCTGCACCACAAAGGCAGCGCTGAGCGTGAGTCATGCCTGATGCTTAATTAGACTATTATTGGTGCTAAAATGTCACACAGTTAAATGAAAACTTCCAGTTCTATGAGCTTGAAAGATCGCTCTGCAGTTTAACTCCAGGAAGAGGTGACCAAACATATCATCACCTACTTCCCTGTTATGCGTTCCCACATTCAGATGTTGCTTATTCACTGTGGTTAGCTTGCTGTGTGTTACTGTTTTTTTACAGTTTCATAACAGATTTAAGGTTGATCACTTTGTTACAGTTTCAAGAGTCCCACACAAGTGGAAGGTAAATAAGGATGCAGAGAAGAAAACATTTCTGTGACTAAAAGAGCTAAAAATGACTCGAAATGTGGCTTTTGTGAGGACTGCAACACTTGAACCAAGGGAACTCGACCTCAAGGAGACACCGTGTTTGCTGGGCAACAGAAGGCAAAATGTACGCACACCTTTTGTTTGTTGACAATAAAAGCACCTGAAGCACCTTGAAGAGTAGATGTGTCATCCTGTAAATGTGTAAGACCACAAACAACTGTTTTCTAAAGTTTCACATACTGTGTGTTCACTTCCAATCAGATTTTGTGTTGTTGCGACGTCTGATTCACCGGTATATCCAACATGGCTGACCGGCTGATTTTTTATTTATTTATTTAATCCTCTGAACTTGTCTCTTAATTCTATTACTTTGGTTTTCCACACACCACCATTCACACAACCTCGCAGTTTTCAGATGCTGTCATCATATTGCAACTCTTTTTGTCAGGATTAAGACTCAGTGACAGCTGATGGACCATCCTCTCGCTCATATTTCAGTCACTTACATCCACATTTAGTCTTTCCCACCTGGAGTTCTCTCTTGAGCTGACTTCAAATGTCATACAGGGTAAACTCGCCTTTGGAAAGGAAGAGAACTTGCTTGACAACGACAGCAGAGACAGCTTTCTGAAACTGAGGGAAGTTAAATGTCATGATTAATATATAATAAGACCAAACTGCATTTATCATCCTGCCAATCATCTCTCCTTCTACCTGGATCTAACAGCTTCTGCCAAAACAGTGATTCCTTTGTTTTCCTCACTGTAAGAAGCTTGTTTTATTACCCTCTGAAAATGTTCACTCATTTCCCCTTTTGGTGTTGTAAACTAAATAGATGATGGGATAAAGGAACAATCTTCTCTTCATGCTGCTTGGCCTCAGGTTCTCTTTGCGCTGACTGAAAGTTATGCCTATGAACTTGCTTGATGGAGTTCAGAGGACTGGTGTTTGAAGATATCATAGTAACGCTATTAAGATTATTCTGAGGATGATTTTCTTTGTTGTTGTTGCTTTAGTTGATCACTAAAAAGAGCTGGGTGTCCATCATTAACAGCTTGAGGGTGCTACCATTTACACGGTTATGTAGCCATGAAATCTTCAGAAAGTCACACCTTAATTAAATGTCTGAAGCTAGCTGTTGACGCCTGTGGTAGCTCCCCATGACATGCTGCCTTTTGTTATACTGCCTGCTATCATAACTTGCAACCTCCGGCTCGGACCTTCATGGAGAGTCTGTGGATGGAACAGTCTCAAAGATCAGTAACAGATGAGACATGGATCCAGTTCTTACAGGCCACAGAAGAGTCATCAGTAAAGCGGTGTTTTTAAACTTGCCTCTGTTGTCTGTCTCTGTTTCTTGGTAGCAATAGTCGCTAGTTTAAGATCAGCAAAGAAGGTCTCCTTAAGATATGGCCACTTACTCAGCTGAGTATACTCTCTGCACAGAAATCCAGCATAAAGAAACAACTAAACTTGGTGCTGATTATCTTTTTTTTTTTTACTATATAAGTCATGAAGATGCACCAGTGTAAGAGTGGCACTATTTCAAGATCACTTAAAAACTGCTCAAGTTCTTAATTCAAATATTAGTGCTCCTTTTTTTTTTTCTTTACTCTAACATAATCTGATTGTCATGCATCTTCTTTAACTCAAGTTCAGCTCGCCAGTTTTTTTATCATCTTGATTCCCTTCCTGCAGTTCTGGTCAGTGGACTTAGTGAGAGGTGAAACAAACGCGCTTCACAGCATCCTGTAACTCATCCCAGTTTGCTGTATGCCAGGTAACAGCTAAAGAGATACTTGATGTTATACACTGAAATTTGAATTACAAATATGCTCGCTTGCACTCACGCCTCAATTTATAATGTCATATTCAGCCAAACTGCCGCCCCCGCTGTTGCACTTAGACTATCTGAGGACTTTTTAAGGCCCAAATGGAGAGGGATGGGAGAGTTGATCATGTTTATTAAGTCTGCTTGGCTACATATACAGAATCGTGCTCGGCAGCAGCCTACAGGAATGGTGTGGTGTGAAGCTGAGTAGATGTGAAATGTGGGCACAAGCTGTGGGCGAGATCCACTTCCTCTGTCTCCATAGAGATGACAGGGAGACAGGAAGGCCTCCTGCACGCTAGGCCGTCACTAATTCAAGATGGCAGCCACAGTCAGAGGAGCTGGCATCTAATGATAATGTGTCTGAGGAGGTCATTGCTGGTGACAACAGAGCAAAACATCTGTTTGTAGCACTATCTAAAATACCTTGTATCATTTTCTGCTTGAAAGAACTTTGCCTGCCGCCATCTGCCCGTAATATAACATTTATCAGTGACACAGATCCACAAAAGTGGACCATCTGCTTATGAAAGAAGGTCATTTGCCTTATTTTTTTCTCTATGACAATGCTGTCTGCCTGCATTCATCTTTTGTGAATGTCTTCACAGGTAAAAAGAACAAATCTGGTCCTGAAAACAACCCCGTGTTTGACGGTTGGGCAAACATCCATCTGCTGAGGGTGACTGTGTTGTATGTTTTAAGGCCTCAGAACAAATGTACCTCATAGGGAGATTAATTTCCCAGATCTGTCTTTACATTTTAATGAAGGCACATTGTTGTGGTTGTGAGCAAAACAGTGGCAAAGAAAAGACCCTGTGGTGAATTCATGGGTAATGAAACTCAGCGCAAGTTCAATCAGGAAGACTGTTTTCACAGTCCTTCATTCAGGACATTATTAATTCATATCGCTCTCCCTCTCATTCAGTCTCATCCTCTCTGTCTCTTCCTGCTTTAGGATCAGCTGATCAGGGAAATGACTTCTGTCACCCAATCATTCTGCTGATTTAATACTGGCTCTACACCAAATGACTGAGTGACTTTAAAGTCACAGACAAATTCACAAAGTCACAATGTTATTATGACTTTTGCGTTGGAGTTGTGACTGAACTTTTGATGTACCTCCTTTCACTCGAGTGGGCCCTTGTCTTGCAGGACCAGCGTTTGCAAAATAAGATCAGGACACAAGACACACTGACTTTTAAATACAAACCCAGACGTGGAGGTGGAGCTGCTTCCCTGAAGGCACAAACAAACCTTTAGAAAGATGTCTGGCTGTAGAAATGAAAAGACAGGGAAGAGGCAGATTCAAGGCCATAAGTGAGACGTACAAGCTGAAGGTATAATGTTGTCGCTTTATTGAAATAGGATCTCTAAAAACGTCGAAGCTAAAACAAGCTCTACATGGAGAAGACATTTACATTCAGGTTACCCTCCACCTCTGTCGGTGCTCAATAATAATTCAGACTGTAAGTCCATCCAGTGTTGTTGAAGAGGCTGAAGGACAGGACCCATGCCAGCCACCAGAGCCGGTCCACTCCATCCCCAGAGTGTGGTGGACAGCCGGGGCCTCGGAAGAGGTTGAAGGATGGATGTGTCCTTGTTGTGTGGATCAGGTGGGCATTGGCGCTCACATTGCCAGACACAACCTCCAGGAAATTTCCAGAAATAAACCAAATCAGAAATTTTCCCTGAGAATTATGGGAATTAACTTGAAATTGGGGGTAATTTAAACAAGCTGTATCATATCCAAACAGAATAAAATAACAAAAAAACTTATAAAAAGACAAATACTCACACTACAATGAATTTTTCTTTTATTATTTATATTCACAGTCTGGAACAGTCTCATTTCATTTTTCGCAATTCAAAGGCCTAAATGAGAATACTTAATGTAGAAGTTTAAAAACTGGGAAAAAGGCTGCACACAAAAAAACAAAATGTTCTTCTTATCCTGATACAACTAGAACTGAGAAAAGGAAAGGCAGATTTGTTGGTCTCAGTTTTTCTGGAGCTGCAGTTTTGCAGCTGTGTGATGTTTGTTCTTGTGATGCATCTGATGTGAAGAGGAACAAATCTGATACCAGTTTCTTTATCAGTAATGCAGCTTCGGTCACGATCCAACAAAATCATGCTGTCGTGATCAAATAAACAATGGGGAGGCTGTGTCAGGCATGTTTGATACTTTCTGAAGCTGAAATTATCTTCACCTTATGCAGATATTTATTCAGAGAGATGAGAAAGAAAGTGGAATTATAAATCCTGTCAAAATCTCTCTTTTTATTCTTCGCACAAGCGCTGTTGTAGTCTTTGGCCCTGATCTACTAAGATCCCAAATAGTGGACCCTAAATTGCGTGTGCAAACTAAAAAAAACTGCACGTGCTATTGGTGAGCATGTTGCAGGTGATCGACTATAATTGCCTGCGCAATTGATAACAGGAATAAAAGTTTGCATGGTCTGATGATCTACACACAGTTAGCATATTCATGAAGGCAAACTAAATGGATTGTTGTTTTGCTCATTTGACAGAAGCAATTCTTGGTGCACCTGGTTAGTAGATCAGTTTTTGCACATGCACCTTTAGCAGAACGGGCCCTTGTGTTGGTAAGTAAACCCATTAAAAGCTTTGATGAAAGGCTGAAATTGTATGTTCCTTAAACACAAGGGTTCAATACGCAGTCTTCCAATCACCCTTAGTGGCGAGAGAACGACCACTGTGGAGACGTATAACTTTCTTAATCAGTACTTTACTCTTCACACCCCATCAGCTTCACAACAACAAGACTTCTTTGTCCCTAATCACAAGTGAAGTCGCAAAATAACCAGAGGATAAAACAGCTCAATTCAGTGGGAAAAACCTCAAGGACTGTTGAATGACTTTGTCAGAAGATGCCAATGGAAACATTAACAAATATTTGTAAATTAACAAATATTTGACAGCAGTAAACATATTTTAATTGAATACATTAATCCAAATAAATTGACTTAAACCTCCCATTTTAACCCCAAATTGCCTCAGTGTGTATTTTCCTGGAGATATTGGATTTGGGAGTCTAAGGATTGTTTTAAACAAAATTCAGTTTTTTTTTTCTTTCTTTCTTTTTAAGGGAACATGAGGGGGTTAATTTAGTTCCCTCAAACAATGTTTGGGCTTTTTTTGCAGACACAGTGGTATTTAGATTAAAAAAGGCAGAGGATGGGTGCCAAAATAACACACTTTTGTTAAAATCCTCTTGCATTTAAAAACAATCGTGTATGCTGACCCCGAACGAAGCATAAAAACACAAGCGAGCCTAGAAGATACCCATGGTGTAAAATAAACAATCTATAGTACTCCAACTCCAGCTGCACATAACACAGGCTATAAAAGCGTATGATTCCTCATTTTAGTAATAGTGAATATAGTCATTTATAAATGACCTATTTTTGTAATGAGAACTGGGTTGGCTAATTTTATCAATACTTTTTTTCTTTTTCTTTTCACAAATCTGCATCTCTAATTCACTACAAACTGGATGGAAAAAAAGTGAAAAGACTATTATATGGTTTTGCCATTTACATTGTTTCAGAGTCAATGTACAACATTCAGAGGCGGACACCCCACAGTGAATCTGGCTCTTGGTGGACCTGTGCTCACTGATAGGCTTCCTACTCTTAAAAATGGGCTTTTCCACCCTCAGTGGTGCCCTGCCAACTGTTCTCCCACTGCTCCACTCATCTGTGTCTCCTGGCATCAGAAGGCTGCGGTTTCCCAAAAAAGACAAGATCAGTTAGTGTTTGAGTTGCTTTGATCTCAATGTGATTCCAACTGGGAATAAAGCCTGGCCCTTGCACTGCCATCACTGTGTCAGAGAAGTGTATATTTATGTGCTTGACCTTAATAGCTGTAATTGGCTAACCTCCATTTAGCCCTCTTCCAGCATCCTGTCAATAAGTCAAGAGTGAAAAGATAACGGTTTGACTGTTCTGGTCCAAAGAGGCTTCGCCACCAGGGAGAAGAGGAGGGAAAAACGCCCGGTGAGTGACACATCTTTTACAAATCCTTTTAGTCAAAAAGCGCTTTAACATTAGTCATCAGAGCGCGTGACAGGCTCAGTCAATACAGAGGTGACGTTATTCACCTCCAACTGGTGGTGTCCCATTTTGTGATGCCACTCTCGCTCAGGGGAAAATACAGAGGAGGGAAGCAACAATGAGTGGGAGAAAGGGCTGAGACTGAGGAAGTGGAAAAGATACTGGAGGGACGAGGTGAAGAGTGGAGTAGAAAGAAGGATGGAGAAAAAGAGCCGCGGCTGGTGAAGCAAAATTGACATTTTTAAGAGTTAATCCATTTAAAGGAAAAAATACCAATGGACACAGTGCTATTGACGATTCTCTGTTATGTAAAAATAAAATGAACACTCTGGTTTATTTAACTACTCAGTCTGTACTTTTGCCAGCGTCTCTCTGAAATACAGCAGATTTAACAGATAGTCAGAGCTGTCGTTTCTTTTCTTTTCTTTACCTTTTCTTATTCTTATTTTTTATTGAAATGCTTGACGCTGAACCGACAGTAATTGTTTTTTACCAACTGGAAGCTCTTAAATTCTGGAATAAAACATGGGCACCATCTTTGATGTATGAGTGATAAGTTCACCCACCAGCAAACAAAGCAGGACTCCTCTGACACACATTCAGGCTCTGTTAGCATTTGTTTGTTTGTTAATAAATAAATGAACCTTTATTGTCAGTGGGGGTCTGACTGCAAGTTTCTCCAGATTATTCAAGATGTTTGATGTCCTCTGTCATACAGTTTGAAAAAGTTTCTTATACATATATATACATAAACATACTTTCAAAGGTATGCTGTGGGTTCTTGAAAGAATTGCATTCTTTATCTGTGTAGCCCATCCGGTAATTCAGGTGTAACTTCAGATGCTTTCGCCGTTATAACATAATGGCGCCGTTAGCATATGATTCAGGGGGACTCAACTGATAAAATGATATGCCTTTCAACTCTGAAAAATGGGTTGGGCACAAACAGGTTAAAAAGTATGCTAAAATTGCTGCATCTTTGCAGCTTCACATATTTTGGATATTTACAATGGAATCCTTGATGATATAAAATAAATATTCATATTCATCTCCATGTGAATTAAATTATCCCTGAATATTCAGACATGCGAATGACATAATCAATTAATGGACAAATAAATCAGTGACTTTAAAAACTGATAGAGACTGAAGCCTTAAACCAACGTGATGCCAGACAATATCACCTACCCAGGAAGGTTCCGGATGTCAGGCACAGGAACAGGGCATATCATTGGATAAATTCCAGAAAACACCAACCCAGGACTGTAAACCTGTTTCGCTGATGGGGGGGCTAACAGTACACTCTCAAACCACACACTGAGGTTTAGATTCACTCAATGTGTTGGACCTGGCATGCAAACAGGAAGAGGGTGCAGGGGTGGTATTAGACAGGCCCGAGATGTGACTGGATACTGGTTCATTCATTACAGTTTAACTCCTCCCCTTATCCGTTTGGTGTTGTGCTGTTGACACAAACCAACGCGCTGATCCTCCATTTCTTGTCTCCATCTAACACTGGGGTCAGACGACATATATCTTTTTCCCCCGTTATGATGGTCACCATGTCGGATCAGGCGATGGCAGAACCATAAATTCATGCCTTGACTTGACTGAGAGACATGACAGACTCTAAGATGGTACACGACCACTCATGACTGATGTGATGCCTTTGGAAGGCAGAGAGGGCTAGAGGACACCCAGAAATGCAAACAGCAGTTACTTATCAGGTTGCTGAAGTGCGTCTGCTTTGTCTCGCCATCATTTCTCTTTGCTGAGTCTGTCACGGTAGTCTCTTGACATCACCTCAGAAAAAGCGCAGACTTTCCCTCTGTCCCGCAGTTCCATCTTGCAGCACCAGCTTCATCATTCTTGTTTTCCTAGTTTGTATGCTTTGTCTGCTTGTGGTTGTAGTGCATGCTGAGTGCTGCTCTGTGCTGTCACTGGTCAACAACACCAACAAGTGGGAACACGGTGTAAAAGGCAGCAAGGCTGAGAGGAAATCTAAGATGTTAGACTTTATGTCAGGAGCTGTCCCAGAAGTGGCCTGACCTGTGGCCTGGTCACTTACTATGACACACTCTACAGAATGAAACCATCTATTTCCGGAGATACAGGTCCTGAAACCTTACGTCTGCCTGATCAGGCTACAATTGCTGTTATAACATACAGTCTGACCTCTGTGTTAGGTGCCATAAGGTTCATGTTGGGTTGTTCCTTCCCCCTCCTCCTCTGCTTCCTCCTTTTTTCTCTCTCTCTTCCTCTCTGACCCTCCAGGCATTACTCTCCTTCCGCTCTACCTTTGGATCAGCTGTTTGAACACACATGAAGCTTCCTGCTCATCAACCTGCACCAGGAAGGGCAGGAGAGGGAAGGCAGCGGAACAGTTGGGTCAACAGCGATTGTATAGAAAGGTTTAAGATCTTGAAATATGTTTTCTCCTCCTGTGGGCGGATGTGTTTTAGGATTCTGTGCTGCAGTTTTCTCTGGTTTTGATGCAATTTCATGCATTGTGTTTGCTATTGTTGCAGTGTCTGCATCTTTGTGCCTCCTCGCTGAATGACAGTTTTATTCCCCATGAAAATCCAGAGAGTTTATGCTCAGCTTTCCTCTGGGTTCCCCAAACACACAGGATGACTGATCATAAATATTAAACATGTTTAATACTTAGTAGTTTTAGTGTATATTTCTTGTAGATTCCACATGACTGGTTGACAACGTTTGTGGTAACCATTTCACAGTGGGGGTTCCACAGACACAAGATTTAAGCAAACACCCTGATAGACCCTGATGCGGAATGCGTTGGAGCTGGTGTTTTTGCTTTAATTTCATGGTGGCAGTTTAAATAAAACCCACTGAGCTACAAATACAGAATCTGTGGCTGTTTTTAAACAGAAAATTTGAGTTGGAGTGTTTTCTTTCATGTTACTCTGTGCATGAGTTGACTTGATTACTGTCTCGTTTGCATGACATATATGCATTTCTGACAAATTACACAAGTGCAATTATTCAAACTTTGTTACTTTGACCAAAAAAAATCCCAAAACGCAGTCGTGTAAATATCGTACATCCGGGTGACCATCATCAGTGACCATCTCCATGTTTTTGGGCTGATGGAAAGGATCCTTATGAAGATCACCATAGCTGCTCAAGATCTTAAGCCTCATGATTCTGCATATTATATATTTTTATATATATATATTTGGCAAAATATCAATATCTTAGGAATACTACAAGGATGCATTATAGATCAGAGCACTTCAGCAGGGACAGAGGCTTTACCTGGAGTTCTTTAATGAGGTGGTCAACATGTTTACTGAGGCAGATCATCACCAGTTTGAGTACTGCAATACTATATAAACTTGATTAATAAATATTTAAATTGGAAATATTTTAAGTCTTTACCATGTCATAGTATTGTCTATGGTTGTATTTTACATTGCACATACTTACAAAAGAAAACAGAGCATAAATAGAATATAGGGAAATCTTTATCCTTGTGAGTTTTAAAGTTGCTGCAATGATGAGATGTTTACAGTTATGCTGTAATAAAGAAGTGAATCCAAGCGGCCTCTCAGCTGGAAGTTTGAAGACACTCCTCGCTTTTTAATGAACTAAACATTGATGCTTAACAAGCTAAACCGCAATTAAAACAAATTGGAGGCAGTTTAACATGGAATTGTTAATAATAAGCATGTTTAATATTCAAATTTAATTGGATCATTTGGGGCGAAAAAAATGTTTTTTATTTTATTTTATTTATTTATTTATTTGGTAAAGCTTTCATCAACCTGATTACCTCATGGTTTTCACCATACTTTAATAGACTAGGAAGATGAGAATAATCAGGCACAGGTAAATACGTAGCCACAGTGAGATCAATCGGAGAATGACACACCATCACCCGGGGGGAAACACGCAAAAACAGGAAATACTTTTGATATGAGTGGAGGCTGTGTGACAAATCAAAGAAATGAAATCAAAACAGAGTAAAACTGCCTAAACTTAGAAGTGCTGTATGAAATAGAATAGGAAACTGACGAGGTTTTTAGTCGTACCTCAGCTAAATCAAAAGTTTCAGGACGATCAAGCGTGAGTGGGAGCATTTTGAAAGAACTCGTGCAGAAAAGGTTTCTGTAAAGTGAACACATTCGACTGACAAAATGAAGCGCTGTTCATGTTGAGACCTCTCAATTCCTGTGTTCATGTAAGGTTCACTTGCCGTTTGATTTCCATCACTGCTGCATGCAGTGAGCAGTGTTGTATTGTAAAAGGAAATTGGAAATGCAATTTAATGCCAAGACCCGGGATCAGGGATGCGGTCCTCTGTGCTGGCGTGCAACAGGAACCATGTGAGAAAAAGACAGAGTGAATGTGCACCATAAGCAGACCTTCTATCTTATTTTATCTCTGTTTTTTATTCTTGTGCTTCCTCTGTGATCCCTTCAAATACACACTCCCTTTTCTCTAAGGAGTAAAGCGAAGGAGCGGCGCGCAGAGAGGAGGCCACACAGCGACATTTTTATCTGTGTTGTGCTGACTCAGCTGAACTCTCCCTCTGAGAGGCTGATGAGGAGGAATGGCCTTGTGGAGGAACCAACCGAGTGCATCCATAGTTGTCATCATCATCTGAATCCAGGACTGCTGAATCTGCAGCTTTGGCCCCCTACGTAGATGGGAAATGACCTGTCTGTGCTCGCCTGACACCCTCTCTGTCTACAACCAAACCACTCATCCTCCAGTCTGAGCAGCACAGCCCAGCTCAACCCTGTCAGCTCGTGCTGCTGAGTTGTTTTTTTAATGTGAAGATCGGCGCGGGTCCTGCCTCAAACCTAAGACTACATTTTTCATCCATGCCAGTGCTTATCACAGAGACCATTTTTCCAAAGGAGGGAGGGGTACAGGTTCTTTGAAGAGGAAAAAATAGCTGGTGGAACAAACAGGACATATCATAACCCTTCAGGACGGACAACAGCAGCAGCAGTATTCTATATCACAAAAATACACCTGACAAAAGATGTCAATTTAAAGGAAATGTGACTCTTTAGTGACACAACATTTAGATGATGGATGAAAAGCTCCCTTACTCACAACTTTGTCAGTGAAGCAACATTATTTGTCTTGTACCATCCACCTTAATTCTGAATACTGCAAACATGCGATCAAAAAGTATTTCATATCATATTGATAAAATAAAACCCCAAATTAGTGATGAAAAGACATTTAGTATGAAGTATCTCCACTGGCTGTCAGAAATGTCAACAAAGCACAGATCTCCCGCCCTGGTTCTGCGTTGTCATGTCAATACCAAGACTTATTATTGATTATTGACACTGCTGCTTACCTGTACATTAGATTTTTTGAGCTGTTCATCTCCAGAGGCAAAGCTGCTGCTGTTTTCTCTCTCACGCTCAGCCGGGGACACGAGTGCATGTTAAATCGGGAGTCGCGACTTAAAGAGGTTGACAACCAATGTGCCGTGTGGAAATGTAGGATAGCCTGATGTCAATAGTTTATAAACAAAGTGGGACGTAAACAGGATACTCGAAGTTTGTAGATAACCAGATGTCATTGGAGTGCATTATTAAACTAGAAAAGCACTCGGAGAGCGCAGACCTCCGCCAAGCAGCTCATGTCCCCCTTATATTGTGATTCACACGAAAACTTTTACTGTTACGTGTCTTTTATGAACTTTTATTTGTGTTTAAACTGGTATGTTCACTGTTCATAATGTTCCTAAAACAAGAAATGCCCTGAATGGGATTTGAACCCAGGACCTTCTTGCAGTGAGGCGACAGTGATAACCACTACACCACTGTGCCACCTATCTACACCACTGTGCCGCCCATTCCTTATCTTTCAGCATTGAAAAGTCCAACAACACCCTAATTCATGTGTGTTCTGGATCACAGTATCCAGAATTTTGTCCGGATCACCACCAAAATTTAATGGGATCCTTCTGGGACTGAGACGCACCTCTGGTAAAAATTTCAGGTCAATCCGTCTGTTACTTTCTCCGTAAAGTTGCTAACAGACAAACAAACAAACCAACGCTACCGAAAACATAACCTCCTTGACGGAGGTAAAAAAACATGTATGTCCACTATCACTCACAAAAAAAAGGCATGTAAGTCTGTTTATAAAATATCAAACAGGTCACTGATGACTGTGTAAATATAGATTTTGATTTCGGGTCCTAATTGTATCTTAATACAGGGTTTTGGGTTTATTCTGTGAGGTAGTTTATAAATAAAATTGTTTTTTTAAGCCAATGCATAAGTACTCATTACACACATAACATATTGGCATTTGTACTTATCATTTCTTTCTTTATTTATTATTTTCAACAAGCACGGGGCCAGTAGAATATCCTGTTTATATTCATCATGTATATATTCAGAAAAGGATGAACCACGAGTGGTCGTGGTCGTGGTCGCCTTTTGCTTGATGAAGTGCTGGGAGACGCGGGTTAATCCTAGACTTCTGGAAACACGTCTTTGATTGTATAGGCAGTCACCGACGAAAACCACTTGTGGTTATCTTGGCTGAATATCTGCACATTCATCATGCAGCTTCCAGCCCCTCTGGCTCTGAAGTACATGTTATGCACAAAGCTTTCCACTTACCATTCAGATATTTAGCAGCGAGCCTGCTTACAGCCCTCATCGCTCCGGCGCTGCCACACTCGGAGGTTACAGACAGGTGAGTTTATTGTTTTCTCCTTTTTACTCATGCATCTTTCATAACCATGTTCAAGGTTCATATCACTGTTTTTGCATTCTCCGACGTGTTTACTGCTTTTGATTGGAAAAGCATGCTGCCGGCTGCTTTGTCACTCGCTGACATTGCTTTTGTGCGGCGCTGCTTTTGTTCTCAACAACTGACTTCCAGGACTCAAGGGTTTGATGCTGAATGGCAACTTTTTTAAATTAAAGGAGCAAAAGTCTGGATTTTCATTATAATGGGAGAACATTAAGTTCTTACAAAAGTTTTTAAAGTTTGACAATCTGATGAACCTCCTGAAGGCTGTGAGGAAGCTGATACCTCAGGTTTTGATACCTGTAAACAATCAGGGCTGCAGCGGCTTTGGTTCCAAAATGAATATGACAAGTTTAGCTCAGGGCTACACTCTTTAAAATCATCTTCTCTTTTAATTTAAAGGCAATTTAAGTAGATTTTATTTGACTGCTCTTGCACAGGTAACACACACTTTTGCTTTTTGATCCAGAGTTCTATCAAAACCTTCGCCAAACGGAGAATCAGCTGCCTTAGCTTCCATCTGCTGCTGCTGAAAACCAATCTGGCTGCTAGCTAGGATCTGGGATCTAGGCAGGTGGCTGAGTACTCACCTTTAAAAATATGTGTGAATGTGCATTCAGATGTGTGCATATGTGTATGAGATCTGTGAGTGTGCATGTGTGTATGTCTGTGCCTTCCGCTGTGTGTTTGGGTGATGATATAACAGCTTATTCTGTGAAAAGGAAAAGCGTTGAACTAAAGTCTTGACTCTTGGGAGGGTTAAACTAGTTCAGACACCCAGGAATGCGCTCATGAGGAGAGAGTGTAGACTTTGTTGCTTGGCCTATTTACAGTACATATTGTTTTCAACGGGAAATACTGTCTTCTCCAACAAAAAGCAGAGCGCAACCCAACTGG